AAATAAAAATATTTTTACTTTTACTTAAAAAAAAAAAAAAATACGTTCTTTGAATTTCTAAACACTGAAAGCAGGAACCTTTACCAGAACTCTGTGCCGTTTCAAGAATCACATTTAGCCCCCCTCAGGAGGGCATTTCGGACAGGGTTGTTAGAGTAAAGGTAAACTTCATCCCAGTTTGTCATTTTAGTTTTCCTAGAGTAGAGATTTGGTCTCAGGGACTCAGCATGACTTCTCCTCTTTGAGTTAATAACTTGCTTCCAGGAGTTACTTTGACCCCAGTGGAAGCGTGGTCCCCAGTAGTAACATTGAAGGCAAATCCTTCATTCACAATGTGAATTGTCACTCATTTTTCTGAACTGAACTGATCGAGAAGAGGCCAACATCTGTTGGTCTGATCCTGCCCTGATCTGTTCTTTTAAGAGGTTCAGGTGACTCCCCTTCTGAGTGAAGCCCAAGGAGACACTGGAGTCAGAAACCAAACAGAGTTCTCACCTCCGGCCAGGCACCTGTCCAGTGCTCCAGACAGCTGGGCCAGGCTCCTTCCTAGCCTCTCTTCCTCCACCTCAGTCAGGAGCCAAATGTTAGATCAGAAGGAAAGTATCAGCATTCCTTACAGTTGGTAAGGTGTTCTGGTTACAGTAGCGTCTCACCGATAGCGACTTCTCTCATCCTTCTTAACTGTCCCCTGGCTTTGAAGAGAGCTTCAGTGAGCACAATATTGTCCTTTCTCAACAATCAGCTCTTTAAAATTACTTTCTTCTTTGAAATAATCAAACACAACATACCCAGCCCCTAACATACCAAATTTAACAGGCTCTCTCTGTGCCTGCGACAAGATACGAACACATATCTGCATTAAAGTTTTAGTTTAATGGCATTTACTGTACAATTACTCAGCAACTTGCTTCCTTCACAGAGCTGTTCTACTATGTGCATGCCTCTAAGTCAGTCACAACGGGTTAAAGCATACTTCTTTAATATCCATGGGTCCCACAAATAACAGCTTACAGCTATCATAGCTACCGTCTATCAACTGACAGTCCAGGTGTTTCCAGTTTTTCCCCTTCTTATAAAAATTGCTGCAATAAACATTTTTGTGAACATATTTAGTAGTGGTGCTTTTATTTTTGTGGGTTAGAATCCCCAGAGTGGGTTAAAGGTGATGCTTATCTGTAAACTACTTCCCCAAAAGTTTGTATCCTTCAGCAATTTATGGATGTCCATCCCCCCCTGCTCTTGCCAATACTGGCTGTTACCAGTCCTTTTCAATTTTGCCCATCTGATGGGTAAAAGATGATAACTAATGAGGTTGACATCTTTTCTCGTGTGTATGTGCCATTTATATTTCCCTTCCTGTGACTTGCCACTTTACATCTTTGCCCATTTTTCTCTTGTGTTGTTCATCTTTAAATCAATTTATAGGATCCTTAATCCCTAATACAGGAATATTAACCTTTTATTAGAGATGATTCCCATAGTTTCTCCTACTTGGTCTTTTTATTTATGGCATCTTTTTACCATATAGAAAGAAATGTTTAAGTTTTATGCAGTCAAGTTATCCATTTTTTTCTTTATGACTTTTGGGTTTGCTATATTCTTAAAAAGTCAGTTTGGGAATTTTTGTCTTACTTCCAATGATGAAAAATATGAACAGGTCATATTAAGTAGAAAAAGTAACAAAACAGTATGTATAACAAGGTCCTAATTTGCTTCGTAAATATACATACGCCTGAGAAGGCAATATGGAGAAGAAGATGAAAATAGGAGGCAAAGTTGGGGAGGAATGTACCTCTGTAATTTCTGAGTTTTATGTATGTATATCTCACAGAGGGTCATTATTTTAATTGAGATACAATTCACACACCATAAAATTTACCCTGTTAAAGTGAACAATTCAGGGATTTTTAATGATTCACAAAGGTTTGGACGATCTCCACTCTAGTTCCAGCACATTTTCATCACCCCAAAAAGAAACACCATTCTAATCCATTAGCAGCTGCTCCTCACTGTCCTCCCCTCAACCCCAGGCATCCACTAATCTACCTTCTATCTCTAAAGATTTGCCTATTCTTAACATTTCATAACCATGTGGCTTTTTGTGTCTGGCTTCTTTCACTGAGCATAATGTTTTTCAAGATTCATCCTTGCCATTGATGTACCAGCGGGTCCACCATATCTCAGTGCTTTGTTCTTTTTTATTGCTGAATAATCATCTACTCTGTGGATAGAGCACACTTTGTTGATCCGTTGAGCAGTTGAGGGACATTTGGGTGGCTTCCTCTTTTTGACTATTATCATCGGTGTACAGGTGTTTTGTAGACATAAGTTTTCAGTTCTCTTCATTATGTATCTAGCAGTAGAATCGCTAAATCATATGATAACTATATGTTCAACCTTTTGAGGAACTACCAGACTGTCTTCTAAGGTAACGGCCCCATTTGACATTCCTACCAGCAATGCACAAGGGCTCCCGTTTCTTTTCTTTTCTTTTTAAGATTTTATTTATTTATTTGACACAGAGAGAGACACAGCGAGAGAGGGAACACAAGCAGGGGGAGTGGGAGAGGGAGAAGCAGGCTTCCCACGGAGCAGGGAGCCCGATACGGGGCTCGATCCCAGGACCCTGGGATTATGACCTGAGCCGAAGGCAGACGTTTAATGACTGAGCCACCCAGGCACCCCTAATTGTAGGTTTTAGTAAGGAAGCACTAGAATGACAGTTTGCGTGGCCAAAGGATCGATTAGTTGGACCTGCTTTATTAACACATTTCATGTCAGGAGGCATAAAGCATGAGAGAGTGAGGATGTGTGTACGTTTGTGTTGATGAGTGTGTGTGGGAGCAGGGAGAAATAATGTCTGACATGTAATAAAATGGAAGAGCCGTGTCTGACTCTCACTCTTCCACCCACATGCCAACTTCCAGACATATGTTGTATGTAAAAATTTTACAGTCAT